CACACAGCACGTGTGCACCAGCACTGCTGATGGAGGCCACCTGGATGGTTCCTGAAATGTTTTGTAGTTGGCGAGTTTGAAACGGGCATCCAGGGGGCCTCTACGTGGTAGGCTCTGGACCTTCCAGCTGGCAGCAGTTCTCTCCACGAGTACAGTGTTTTTGTGACAGAGTGACAAGCTCCAGGGTTTTTGAGTATGGAGGGACTATGGAATTGACCGTCAGCACAAAGAGGTAAAGTAAAATGGCCAGAGGAAAAGTCTGAACTAGTACTCTCCTTCCTGCCAGGAAGAAGGGTGTTAACACATTCTAACAGTAGCAGTGTTTTCTTCCTTTTTCTCAATGTGCCCTAGGATGTGCTGCTTTTGATTTAAATGGAGTTCACAGAAAGAGGACGTGATCTCAATTCCTTCTTGATTTTGACATGATGGAAGTAATGCAAACCAAGCTCATGATTTATATCTCTGGTTCTGTTTAGCTGAATTTGATCCTATTATGATGCAGTTCAAAAGATCAGTAATTCTAATCACCTTTATGGAACCCTTGATCCTTGTCCCAGGCAATGTCCTAAGAAGAGGTATTCTGCTGAAGTGAACGTGGGGTGGTCCTGGCTCAGAAAAAAAGGTGAATGGTGAGGTCACACCAGCACATTATGCAGAACCAAACAAAAAGAAAAGCAACAGAGGGGAAGTGTTGCCCGAAAGGCATCATGTGCACAGGGGGATGCAGGAGATGATGAGGTCTGAAATTGGTCTTTTGCATTTCAGGATGTAAGTTAGAGTTTAAATGCTGTGGTGTACAATAAATGGATTCAAGCATGGGGTTTAAGATGATTTTGTGGGTTTGTACACTTTGCCTTTGTTGGCACTATTTGAGTTTTTGTCCATCTGCTTATAATTGTGAAAGGTTGCAGACCAGTTGTGGGAAGTGCAGAGACACTCTAGATATCATAATCCCTCTTTGCCTCTACTGTAAACAATATGTGCTTGTGTGCTCAGAGCCCCCCTGGTGGCAAGGTTTGGGTTTCCGTGCTTCAGCCAGGTCTGAGGAAATCAGCGTGGACTAAAACTTGGCCTTACGCAGGCAGAGGTGCTGTAAACTTTCCTCTGCCTGACCTGTTTGCCTCCCACAGTTCATCCTTGACATACAGGGCTGCTTTCTTTTTCAGGTGGTAGTTTTTTTACACAGCACAAATTCATCATGCAGCTGATGTGCTCTGAGCTTTCCTATGAAAGGCTCTTATTGTTCTCATGCTCCTGGCACGGTGTTAATGAGATGCTCAGCAGAATGTGCTCAGGAACTAAAATTGTATTTCTTTAAATTATGAATTGAATGGCCATAGTTAATGCTGAAATATGTATGGAGAAGATCCAGCTGCCCATTGAAAATTGCCTGAAAGCTTCAGGAAGGAAAAATGAAAATAACTCACTTTGTGTCTCATCACAGCAAACTTGAAAATTTGAGACACTTAATCCCATGCCTTTTAGCAAAACTGTTTTAGCAACAACAGACTGTTTTCATAAAGAGTGTAAACAGTTTCTCTGAGATCTCACTTCGATCTTCTAATGTTTCTTTGTAGTTCAGCCATTTTCATCATATGCTTCTGGGCAAATTACCTGATGATACTCTTGAAAACATTCCCTGATGCTACTGGGAAGCTGAAGTCTTTTTTTTAGCCATGTTTAAGCTTATGTTTCCATCTTATGTGTCTTTAGTAGGAATGGGTTAAGTTTCTTGTTTACCGTGTTCTGCCAAATCCTTTTTCAGCTCATAATGGAGAAGGGGCATCTGAGACTAATCAGTAACTTTTATTGCAGGTGTCTTATGGATTAGCAGGACACTCTCAAAGGCTTCTGGTTAGGGAATGGGTGATTCAGAGCATCTGCCTAGGCTACTGCTCTGACTAGAGCTCTAGAGAAGCTCATCTCCTCTGGATATAGAGGCAGCATCAGGAAAGTTACCTCTTGTGCATAGAATTAGCCTTCAGGGATGCTTTCCCTATAGGCCAAACTTCCTTTGTGCTGCCTGCTTTCAAGTCCTTTCCAGTCCTGCACCCATTCAAATTCCCTGCTCCCTCTGTATATGTGTTGTCCAGTTATTTCTTTCAAGTGTAGGTACCTTTAATGCATGTCTTTAGTGCATTAGTGCATTTAGTTGTGAAGAACTATGTAAAAGTTTCTTGCTCTGCCCCCTAGAACAGGATTATACATTTCTATTGGCCAAGCAAACTGTGACTCAGTCCTTCACTGAACCTTTCTGTCTGCTCAAAATACATTTTTTGTTGATTTATGAGTGGTTTATAACTGTCAACCAGGAGCCTTACAACTGCAAAAATTAAAATTTTAGCAGGTATCTTTAAAAACTTGGTTTTGAAGTTGCTTCTTGTGCTGATCCAGTCCTTCCAGACTTCTCTTTGTGTTTCAAGACTCCAGTGCAGAGTGCAGTTCACCTTCTGACTTAAATAACTATTGAAAAACTTATAGCAAGATTACTTCTACGTGCTTTACCCCCTCCCCCCCACTTTAAATATCCCCTTTTTACAGCATGTTTCCCTCTTACTGAGCTCAGGCCAATTGTTTAATGGGCTTTTTTCTTTCATAGTAATTACTGTGTGTTTATTGCCTCTGTCTGGTTTTTATGTTTGTCATCACTCTCTGAATCTTTTCCACGTTTTCCCTCTGCTGTTACTCTAGCTATTGCCATTAGAAACCAAAAAATCCCAATTCCCAATGCTCATGAAAGCAGCCAGCACAGACCTCAGTGATGCATGACTGTGGATTCTGTTGGGGCTTACTAGAAAGGCTCTCTCTTTGTTTTGGGATGGCATGTTTGCATTGCTATTGGTTTGGGCCTCTGACTTGCTCTGTGCAGCTTGGGATTGAAACTCTTATGTTTATCTGGGATTTGAAAAGCAAATAGAGCATCACACTGACCTATTTCAGCCTTTTTGTTTTGCAAATGTGCTCTTGGAACTGCCCCTGCTATAATCCCGCAGTGCTATGGAATGATTAAGGGATGCTCAGGCTAGGATCCCCTGCAAAAGTGGGCAGCAAGCAACCCATATCACAGAAAAAAACCCCTACTTCTAAATATGGATCAAACCTAGGTATTGTTTGTTACTCTGAAGTAGTTTTTACCCTTAAGGTGATCTGAAGGGCAAAACAGAGGAAAACTCAAAAAGCAGTCTAAGTGAAATATGTATCTTGATCAACATTAAAATACACTGACAAAACAAATTATAATGACCTCTCCTAGTACACAGAGAAGCAATATCCACAGGGGTATGTGATCTGAGCAGTCAGTATTCTCTACTTACCTGTCTAAGCATGCTGGTAAGACTAGGTGGATTGAGCATACTCCCAGATATGTGGATAAACACATTTCAGTATTTGGGACAGGAAAAACAGATCTGACAGACCTCAAATAGTGACAGTTTTCCCACAGAATGTTGCACTTGTACTGCAGTATAAACACTGTATAACTCCGTAGCTCCTAGGGTCTGCACGAGAAGCCGTGAAAGCAGTATTAGCAGTGCAGCTGTGAAGATGGGCTACAAGCACCGCCTGCTCTGAGTGCTGCCTTGTCATTAGAGGGAGAGCTCCAACCTTGGGAGCATCTGGGAAGGGGCTACAGAAGTGGTGTCAGAAGGAGGCAACGACTGGGAACTGCCTGGAGAGAAGGGGAAAAGCACCCCAAGCGTGTCAACAAGGGTGTCTTGCCACAGTATTTTCTGCTAGTGTCCAGGTGTGCTCCGGCTCAGTAGTTCAGTATCACTTATTTAAAATCAAATGGCATGGAAGTTATTAAATGATAGCACATGGTATTGAGACCAATGGGTGTGTTATTGCAGAAGCTGCCAAGGCAATCTGTTATTTTGCTAACTTTGTCTTGCTCTCCATCCAGCTGATGATGCCCAGGCTTTCTGGTAAGATGCAAACTTTTTTGTTTATTTCAGTCCAACCGTGTAGTTTGCTAATACCCGGGAAGTAATAGGCCTCAAGCTGGTGGTCTGCACAACAGCAACTGTCACCATCTCCCCTCCTGGAAAGAACAGTCCCTGGGAATACTGTGGCAACTATAACACATTATTATAACTCCTGTACTGTGCTTGCTGTCTGCTGCTCTCTGCTTGGAGGTGTTCATTCTTGCCTGTCATACGCAGAATCCATGAAGGTTTATTCCACTTGCAGCAGCACAGCAACAAAACCTGCTGTTGTGTGAAGTGACTGGAAAGCTGAGCAGCTTTCTCACACCATGGCTGTACTAGCTGGCTTGTGCTTTGTGTGGGATCTCACTGTTGTCCTGCCTGGAAGAACAAAACCAAACCTTTTGTCCTGCTGCTGGCTGTGTGCTGGTGTAATGGATTTCAGTAATAGGAGCACAGTGGGCACAGTGAGAAAAGACTGCTTTTCTTGCTGCTATGGTAAGATGGTGAAGGAGAATTAGATATTTAATTAAACCTCCAAACAAATTTCAGTGATGGGAAATAATACCTTAACCAGATGGACAGTGTGTCTTCCCTAGAAGGCTGTATTTAAAATGTGGTCTTTTGGGCCTCTTGCTAATTGCCACATCTGCTGTAGGCTAGAATGGAAGAGAGGCCATGCTCCCCAATTGGAAATGGGCAGCATCAGCAGATGGTCTCCTGGACCCACTGTAACGCTGAAGTACAGACAACCAGACTTTGCCTAATGTGGCATGAGGGCTCTGAGCAAGGAGCACAAGAAACCAGATTCCCTGAGTGATTGGCACAGTCAGCTCTGGGACTGCTGTCCTGCTCAGCTCAAGCACTGTTGGAGAGACAGGTCATTGCAGGTAGATGCCCTGTCATTCTCATTCTTCCTGAAGCAAGTATCTCAACAACTCCCCCCACCACACACATTCCAGCTTCTTATAAGGCTGCTTCACAGAAAGGAGAAATGTACTTCTGTGTGCTCTCATGATATGGTCTAGTAGCACAAAATTTAGCTGGTAGCTGAAAATAGAGACAATGCAAGAAATATAAGAATAAAATAGGTTTATTGGAGCTATTTTACATAAAGTAATCAAGAACAAACAACTTGAAGAACTATTTTTATACCATGGCAATATTTGTGCTGACTTGAAGCTACTGAAGTACAAAAGACGACATACAAAAAGATGCATGCCTCATTTGACTCTGGTTTTATTGGGACCCATGAGGAATGTGACATCCTTGGACAGTCAAACAAGACAGACAGCACAATTCTTGTGTATATATATGTATATATAACATGTACTGTACACATTTTACTGTTAACACATCTGAAGTTCACTCACACATATGAATTACTTGCTCTAATTCTATGAGAATTTTTCTGGGTTGAGGGCAGATCACCAAAGCTTTCAAGCTTTGCAGGGAGCTATGGGATAACCAGCAGGAATGCTACACTCTGGCATCTTGGATAAAAACTGCTGTGTGCTGCTTTCTCACGCTGTGGAAGGGTGGCAGGCTAGGGGTAGAAAAGGCTGAACAAGCCCTGAGCTCTGGGGAGAGAGACAGCTCTGGGCTCATACACAGAATTGGTGGTTTGGGTTGGAAAGGACCTTAAAGATTATCCAGCTCCAGCCCTCCTGCCACAGTCAGGGATGCCATTCACTAGATCAGGTTGCTCAGGGCTCCATTCAGCCTGGCCTTGAATACTGCCAGGGATGGGGTATCCACAGCTTCTTTGGGCAACAGTACATTGCTGTTGAGCACTGGGAGGTCCAAGCTCACCTGCTGAGGACTTGTATTTTTTCATTTCAGCATTTAGTAAGCATGGCTCTCTCTGCTAGCGGCACAGAAGTTTAAACTATGAATGGAAGAAAGATGCTGTGTTCTTTAAATCCCAATTTGCTTTACAAAAGCTGGCGCCTAGATAGTGGTTGCTTTTAATTAACAAAGCAAGGCAAATTCTTTAATGAAAACACTTCCTGTGCATTGGGGGAAAGTACACAAATGGGTTTCTGCTGGACAGTGAAGTAGTGCCTTGGTTGGAGCATCCCAGTCTCCAGAGCAGAGCGCAGCAGTGGCAGCACTGAGAAGAGGATGCTGGCACAGGCTTCCCCCTGTGCCAGGGCTGCTGGGCCTTGGCTGCTCCAGTGTCCTGGCCCTGGGGCACACTCGGCCTTGGCTGAGACCCCAGCTGCTGTGGGGAGGGCAAGAGCACCCTGCATCCAGCATGGAGTCTCCCCACGTTGCAGTGTNTCTTCTGCACAACTGCATCTACTCTCTGGAGCCTGAACGCTTCTTATTTTCTGAGCATGGGCATCTACTCACTTTTTTATATTATCACTGAAGGGGAAGAATATGTTCCTCATCTTGTAAACTGCTTCTACACTTGAAAATTAACTAAGGATTTTGGTCCTGTTACAGAGGCAGAGGTTCATGGACACAGGAGAAAGGGGAGAAAACAACTGACCAAAATCCAATTTTTAGAGATACATCCCATTGATGAGGTAATCGGACTCTTCAGATGTAATGGGTCGAGCTTTTTTAAGCTTCTGTTTCACTAAGCGCAGTCTGCAAGCAACCATAAGAAGCAGCAAAGCAGTGATGGCCAAGCCTAAGGCTAAGGGTAACACAGCACCTACAACAAGGTTAAGAGAAATTACATTTTATTTAATACAGTGAGATGCTGGTAGAGAAAACCTGACATTTTTCTTTAAAAATACACCTAGTTTATCACTTAGATGCTAATATTTCGAGCAACTCATGCTGTGAAACCAGAATATGGAGTACATTATTCAATTTTTGACCATTGTATGTGTATTGCACCAGCTGACTGAAAAACTAATGTAATTCAAAATGAATTCACATGGTTGGTCTTACCTGTTTCTGGGACTGGATGACTACCTCCAAACTGATCTCTCCTTGGCACCATTATGCCATTCCCATTTTTATCATCTGTTCTTTTCCCTGAGGAACTGTTATCTGCACAAAGTCAAGCAAGATAAATGAATATGGCTGTTCAGTGACTTAGAAAGTCTTATCCCCAGGACACTAGAATTAAATAATGTAGAGTACTAAACTTAGGGAAAAAAAATCAAACAATAGAACAGTAGTTTAAGAACTTCTGACTTCAACTGTATAACTTGAATTTTTGAAATAATGTGAAGCTAAAGCTAAAATGTGAATTCAGTTTTGCATCCCAAACCCCGATGCATCTCAACCAAACCCAAGTGGGGTCATTTTCCACTAAAAAAAGAAGGATATCAATTCTGTTTTACAAACTTCCAAAACGACGTATAGACTAGTCTGAGCTAAAACTTTGCTTAAGCTCTTTACATATGTAGTTGAAAATGAGGCCATTTCACATTATATTGATCTCTATCCTTGGAACTTGCAAAGCAGAAAACACATAGGTTGGCTGCACAAATCACCTTAACTTTGCCTGTTACCTGACACATACAGATGCAGAACTTAGGTACTTGGAAGACATGAAAATACATGGGGAGAACATTTCAAAGAGGATGATTTGGAGTCACTGCAGCTTGTGTGGTACATAAGATATTACAGAGCATTGTACCTACTCAAGAAGAGACAACACACACTTTGCTGCCAAGGAGTGTTCTTGGGAATGCATAGGGCGGCAGTTCTACTTTTAAAAAGCAGAGTAACTCAACTGGGACTCCCTCCTCCTGCCCTCCCACTCAAGTCCTACTCCGATAGCTGTGGGGGCACTATGCAAGAGTGACAGCTTAATCCACCAACACCCTCACAAAAATCAGTGATATGCCTACGTTTTTAAAGTATTGACTATATTTGGGGTTTACTGATAACATAAATATTGAAGGGCACTTTGACTGCACTGCGATACATTTGCTGGCAGCCTTCAGAACTGTGACAGAGCCAACAGAAACAAACTGTGCTACAAGATCTGTAAAACATGAATGTGAAATGTTGTAATTGGCATTACATAGAGTGGTGGGTGTTAAGGAAGTGTTTAAGTCAATTAGCTTGGAACGTGCACTCTGTGTAACTCCCACCCACCACCATCAACTCTGAAGAGCTGCAGAATGTGTCCCTGTCAGTGGCAGCAGCGAATACTCACAACTGTTAATTAAAGCTTAAATTGTTTTATCAATACTGTCATGAGGTCAGTGCTGATGTCTCCACTCTAAGGCAGAACACCACCTCCCAGGCTCTGGTTTTACTGCCTTGCCATTATGGATAGGTGTACATAAACACAAAGTTCATCTGCAGCAGATGACTTAGGAATGAGCTGTGGCCTCCACCTCATTGGGCTCTTTATGTTGTTCTGGCAGGTAAAGTGGACTTAAGGGAATCCTAAGTGTAAATTGTACTGGCTTTAAAGTACCTGTATGGCATCAGATCTGTGCAAGATCACCTGAATGTAACTTAGACTAAAACCAGCAGCTGTTTTCTGCTTCTGTTTTTCCTGAATGAAATGAAACAAATATTTGTCTTTATTTTGGAAATACCCAAAAGATATTGGCTTTTCTTAAGAGCTGCTCCAGTCTGAACGGCAAGGCTAGATCTAATGCCTGTTTTGTAAATTTGTTTCCTGCCATTTGAGTAAATGGAATATTTAAGCCAACTGCTTGTAAAGACATTTGGCAAATATGGAGAGAAGTTTGGTGGGAAAAGTTTGGAATGGTAGAAGAACAGAATCCCTTCAATAAAGCCTGTAGGATTTTGTTAAGACTTGTGGCTGCTTTTACATGACTGGAGAGACTATCAGTCAGTGCTGCTTAACACCTTATCTATTATCACTAGAAAAGAAAGAGCAATTTCCCCAAATAAGTTTAGAAGCCTGACATAATCATGTTACCTGGGTTTCATTTTGTTTTCACTTTCTCTTGATTTTCTAGTCTGTTAATAGTAAATTGCAATTTACAGCCCTTTCCAGTTACCCTAAATTAGAGATCTAGGTTAGAGCACCCGCTGTTGATGCCTCCACAGTAAAAACATGACTAAGGCTTGGGCACTCAGCCAAATGTTGTAATCCCAGCCCTGAACAGCACTGCACAACAGCTGGCATGGGCAGCCTGGAAGAGGCAGGGACCTTGTGCCAGGGGAATGCGAAGCTGTTATGGTGATTTATACACTTGAGTTGGCTATGCTGGGGAGCACAAATCTTCAGGCTGCTCATGAATTCAACCTGTCTGCATGACCACGTTTGCTACTGGCTGTTGCTGCTTAGAAGTCAACCCACTGCTCACTCCAGTGAGCTTTGCTGCAAATGTATGTTTTTTGTATTCATCTGCACCTGCAGCAGTGCCAGAATATGCAGCTGGGTTTAAGAACTTTCCTGGAGAAGAACACTTGGGCTCTTTGGAGAAGAAATGCTGTGCTGGCCTTTGCAGGAGATGCAGTCTGGATTACTTTACTATGGAGATATGTCTGCAGAGAGAGAACAGATTCCTTTATTGACATAAAGTGCCTCTTCTGCCTCTGCTCCCAACTTTGGAAGAAAATGTTTGGCCTTCCAGCTTGGGCAAAAATTAAACCATGAGTCTGTTGCAGAAGACTCCGTGCCCTGAGTGTCCGAGGAAGTTATCTCTTAGTGTTGGACTAAGTGTTCCCCTGGAGTCACCTAGGTGTAGAGGAATCCCACTGGAAAGGCAGGATGCAGAATGAGATTCAGCCATTGTCAACAATGACTGATTTTTGGCTTTTGTTTTGGTTGCTTGGTTGTGGTCTTTTTCTCCTTATTGTGAATAAATCCTCTGCTAGGCCAGGTAGAAATTTTAAATAGTACTTAACTTGGACTTGCATATTTTCATATTTTCATACTTCAGTGTAAATCCTTTAAAAGTTTGTGTCAAGTCAGAGACAAACATGAGGGCCACTGGAGTAAAGATGGCAGGTTAAGGGACATTTGGAACAGAGAAACTATTAAGAGAAAATGGATTCTGGGACAAATTTTCCCTTGTATGACCCTCATAGGCAGAAAGCTTATATTTTTGCTAGCAGGAACTATCCCACAGTCCAAAATATTACAGCGTAGCCCAGCTCCTTTTAAAATGGAGAAAGGATAAATATGCTAGTACTTGACAAGGAGGTCCCTTTATTGGACATTTTTATTGGAATATGAGAGATGAAATCTGTTTATGGAGAGGTAAGTAGCAGAAGGGACATGCCTTTATTGGTACTGTAACCACCACTGTATTAAAAACAAATGTAAAAAAGAAAACAAAGCAAGTCCCCAGTCCTGCAACTTCTTGGGGAAAACCTATTCTTTAGAAGTCAGCTGAAAGCTCCTGTATCAAGCATCAAGTCTAGCAGCCAGCTAGAACGTGCCACATGCTGTCTCCAGTAGGTAACACCTTCTTTTACTCTGCCTTGCATTCACTAGATTCGAGAGCACCACGTTTTCCTTCCTGGATTATATTTCCATGACAATCTGAAATAGTCAACTAAGAAATAAGACAAATGTAGCCCTGAATGGAGGAGCCACAAGTAAAATGCTGGAACCTGTGCTGCCACTGTAAAGCCATATCCCTTTAATATGTAAGTTAAGTAGACAGCTTTTCAACATATTGACATTAAAATAAGTAAATCTTTTAAAATTTATGTATAATAGGAAGCCTGGATGTTTGCAAAATCAACTCCAGGCCAAAAAGCCTTGGGCCAACAAAGACCTTTTCAGTGTGACTCAGAGGCAGAGGTTCCACCTTGGCACCACTAGCGGCTCTAGCACTGTCTCAGGAGACAGTCAATCCCAGAACAGGATTTCTGCCAGTGGAATTGCTGAACTTTTGAGGCTGCTGGTATGGTTTCTTTCAGTGCTGCTTCCCTCTCCTAAAAAATGTATCTAGCAATTATTGCACCTCTGAATGCCTCCAGATGAGCTTCATGGAACTGCTTCAGCAGTTCTGTGTGTAGGTTTGGTCTGTAACTTTCTTGAGATGGCAGTGATGGAGAGAAGTCTAATTAATGGATCTGGGTGAATTTTTAGGAACAGGTTAGATGCCTGTCTCCTCAGCTTTATAAAGACTGTGATGCTCGCGAGTGGGGCAGGACTTGAACCTCTCTGGACCTCTGTGAATCATTAATGTACAGAATGTTACTCCTGTGAAGTGTAAGTGTCTGCAGGAGAAGACAGCAGCTCAGAGCAGGTTTTGGCAGAGCATTTTTTGGCATTGCCCTTCGGATCCAGGTACGTGGCACCTCTTCACGTCCCACCACATGCACCCACCCCATTTGGAACTGATCCATAGGTGAGTTTAAACCTCACTGAGCTGTTTGTTGCTTTTTTGGTTAAAAGTATTGGGTTCCTAGGTCACTAAAGACTGGAACCTTCTATTCTGAAGGAAATTCTTAAGCATCTAAAATTAAATTTTGACTGAGTTTTGTCAAGAAAGCAATATTAAACCCACGAGAATTAAAACTAGACATGGTCAGCTCAAAATCTTGCCTTTTTAAAATTAAAACAATTACAACAGCTACTGGTAGTACACTTATTACTGAAGCCCCATCACACTTTTTTAGTTTTATAAGAATTTCTTTCTTTGCATGTCTACTGCTGTGCAAAAGGCTACCTTGAGAGCAAAACCAGGGCAAGTAAGTCATTGTGCAACAGGTAAACACAGAAAATGACTATGTAAAAGTGCCACACTTCTAGATGTACTTCCAATTACAACCCCTGATTATAGGTTGCTGAAGTTGGTGACCTCAGTTCTGGTTTTATGTCTGGATTCACAATCCAAATGATTTTTGAGACCTACTTAGCAGCTGAATTTCCACTGGAGGCTGCACTGTTCCTTGGAAATTTGATGTTTAGTTTAGGTGGCCCCATATTAGGTGTCACTCAAGACTATGTGAGCAAGAAGGTTTTGGATCAGACTTCAGGATTTAAGTCATTCCAGTGAGGAGCACCGAGGTCATCTACACTGCCAGAAAAGGGGAAAACTGAGGATTTTGGTATCAGTCTCTAGGCATTCACTAAGACAGTCTAATTCTTGAAGAACATTGTTTTCACTCCCTTTGCAGTCTCCACAGATGAAGTACAAGCATCTGAAGAAACACTCAAGTGCCAGGGCAGTGCCCTTTACAAGAGTCGGCAGCAGAGGGCCTTGAGCACTGCTCTGTTGTAACTGGAAAATAAAGCTGGTTATAAATAGCTGTGTCTTGGGGTCCATGAATCAGTCTAAACATGAAGAAATAAAAGTGGGAGGTCTCATACAAAGGCCAGGGCTGGGGACTCTGCCTGTAACATCACCACATGGTGACTCACTACAGGCCTGCAGCTACTATGGAGAACAATACCGGGCACCTGTACACGTTCACCTGAGGTTGTTTGTTACCAAAGACTGAGCCTTTTCTATAGTGATGAAAGACTTCTCCTGCCCTGGAGACACAGTTCAGAAAAAAAAAAGCCCATAATACTAAAGATATTAGTTCAGAGGGGAAAAAAAGAAAGAAGTCATAATTAACACAAGGAGGAAAGCAATTACTTTCACCCAAGTTGAACAGTACTTTATTATGTTCTCCTGAAGTACTCCTCTACAGATTTAAAAAGCCTTAATACATCAGCCTGCAGAGCTGAACCTGGGGCAGAATTTGTATTTAGCTCACTGCATGTTTTGTTCCTTAGACTGTATTATTTTCCTGGCATCCCTACATTTTAACTTTCTTTTTGCACCTGCTAAAAAGTAGACTTGACAATAATAAATTGAAAGCTACATAGAACTTCATTATTACAGGTTTCTTTTGTATCTTTTGCATTTTCAATTTTTTTCCTCTTGGGCACCAAAAAACAATTAAAATAAACTTAAGGTGCAAGACATTTTCTTTCTTTAAAGAGAATGATTTACTGAAACTGATTCATTTCAACTCTTACCTGGCACAAATCCACTGATTTGTTTCTTTGGTCCCTGAGAAAGCGATTGGTTAGACATGTCTGCATCCACTGAGAGAACTGGCTGATTTCTGACAGTGGCTTTCAGGGTGTTTTCTGCAGAGAAATTTTCATCTGTGTCTTCAGTCAGTCCTACAGTCCTTTGCTGGGTAGTGCCAAGAGCTGCATGTGTCACTGTCTTTCGACCCGGGCTGACTGTTAACAGAAACAAAAATCATAATTTTTGTACATAATTAAAGGGAATGGGAGTGTTCTTAAGGAAGACCCTTCAATATGGGCCTTGAGGCAGGCTAAAAAACTTCCTCAGGTTCACATATATGATGATATGTGAGTTCCAGATACATAAAAGGTTAACAGTTGCTTGCTGCCAACTGTTAAGCAGAAGTACACTCATGAACTCTACAGTGAAGTCCAGCAACTAAAATATCAATGCCAGAGTGGTTAGCCATTGTGCCAATTCACCCTCTGAAGATTTTCGTTCACTTAGTTGAGCGTGGGCACATACTGAGGGATGACTAATGAAAGCAAACAGAGGGATTGTGAATCAGCTGGTTCCCCTGCCTGCTCAGAGTGAGTGTTTCAGATTCTTGTAAGGTGTGTAGCAGCACTTTGAATAGTATCTCTGAGACACTATGAAACACAGTTCTTCTTTCCAGAATCATCATGCAAGTGAAAAAACTATCTTTGAAATATTCAACACAAAATCAGTCATTTAGGGACCCTTGATAGTTTTAACATGCTTTGAAGAAAATTTCTGAGCACCTACTGTATGTGGACATTACATCTTCCCATGTGCTAATTCCAATGAAAGGCTCTATGTTGGGAGCAACTTAGGGAGCTTACTCATAGGGAGAGAGAGGCCACAGAAGTGGCGTCATTCCCTTTTGGTCATTTGGGCTGTGGTTACTTCCACAATCTACACCACGGCCTGGCACACTTACGATTCTGGCAGAAAGTTTCATCTGATCCATCAGGGCACTGTCTCACACCATCACAAGCAAAAGTGATGTCAATGCAGCAGCCATCATCGCAGATAAACTGGTAGCGAGAGCAAACCCCAACACAGGCTGTTGAGAAACAATTCCCAAATTACCAAGAAATCCAGGTAGTAAGTACTGGGTCAATGACTAAAATCTGCAGCACTGAGGAAAAAGCAAAACCATGCTAAGTCAAGAAGGACCATGAACAAGGCAGAAAGTTGAAGAAAGGTCAGACTCAGCTATATAATGTCATATTGACATAGAAGCTAATATAGGTAATAGCTATTTCTGGCACCTTCATCACTATTCTGGAAATCTCTTTACTGCAGGAATACTCAACCTGGAGGCTGTTGCACCTTATACCTTGTGCAGCACCCTTACAGTGCTTTAAATTCTGCTGGCCTAAGCTAAAAGGAGATCTTCTTAGGCTTAAAAGAACAGTCCTGAAAATAAATAAATGAAATCTCTATGGCTGTAATGGCATTGCTCCAGCATGTAATTCCTACTACATACCCATTATGTATTTCGGACAATATGTTGTTTTACATGCACACATACGGACTATATGGGACCTTTTATAGCATGTTTTCTGCAACCTAATTAAAATACATAAAGAATGCTCGTCATTTATTTACATTAGTAATCCAATGACTTCAATACAGCACAGACCAGAACAGGACTACCAGAAGTCTCTCAAATGACTTTCACCAGAAAGGACTGACTGCTGCCTGCTCTAATATTTAGATTCCCCCGGAAATGGAGAGTGTCCCCGCACATTTCAATTTGCATACTCAAAGCTTTCCTGAAACCCATTCTGATCCTGTAATTTTCAAGTGTTTACATGTATGCTTTTGTCTTTCTAACAGCAGTGTATTTCATCACTTTGTAAAGCACTATCAAATTCAGTGTTTGATTAATGTTGTCACAGCAAATCGATTTGCATAAGGATGTCACAGCCTTTGGTTGTTATCCTGCTATGCACCAGAAAGCTGTGCAATGCTAATGGAAGCATGGGAGGAACATGGATCCCTGTTTAAAACTCCTAAAATCAGAAAATGCATCTCCTAAACTTCAGTGCTAATAGTAGCATGGGTCTTGCATGCATTAAGGCACTAGTTTAGCTATAGTAGTAACACTTGAATTGCTAACACAGACGGAGAATTAGAAAAATAAAAAAGACAGTGCATCCTCTATGTGCTCCATACAAAAGATACCCCTGATACCCACAGCAGCAAATAAACAAACCAGTAAACCTCTCTGGCTGCTTTAGCTGAATTAAACATTTATGAACACAACTCTATAACCCATTACTGGAACACAGGCATTATTAAGCAGGTTTTTTTGCAATACCAGTTTATTACCACAGGGACTACCTTCTCGCATAGGGATATTGCACTGGTGCAGAGCAAGGTTTTCACTGGTTCAGCTGAACAGGGTGATAACACTATTTAACTTTTACTTTGTGCCAGAGCAGCAGATCTGTACTAACAACTTGTTAATTACAACGTAATTAGAAGTTATTACATTGAAGAGACCAGGACTGACAGCCACTGAAATCTAACTTATTTTCTATCCTTTATGCTTTTTACATGTTTCTGGAGCTCAGAGTTTAAAAATGATGGGTCAGTTCCAGTTTCATTTTCCCCAGTAGCATAGGCTTCAATAACAACCACTAGACAGAAAAACTTCAATACAAGAAAACAAGAAGTCATCTTTTAGACTACAGATGCAGGTCACTATTATTATTAGTCTGCCTCACACATACAATTAACTGATTTTAGCTGATAGCACAACAGCTAAGTTTAACTGGTAGCACAGGCCTTGTCATGTTGTCTACACCACCTCAATGTTACAATGTGCCTGATACCTACGGCAGTATTTCATTTTTACAACCCTGCATGCTTATAAGCAGTAGGACAAACATTCAATGCTTGGAAGTATTATTCCTGTAACACACAATTGCTGCTTGTTTGTTTCTTCACTTTGAAAGAGTGATTCAAAGCTGAAAGAGATGCCATTATGTAATGGATAAAGACAAAATAAAACACTAGAAATGGAGAATAAGACTTTTGCCTCTATCAAGACCCTTAATCTGCTCTGAATACCATACCCTGGGGGTCACTCAGGCAACAACAACTCGTTTTCTCACCTCCTGCGGAATGAACCATGGGCAGAACAGTCACAGAGACGTTGTCAGAGCTCCGCTGACCTGCAGTGTCTGTCACAGTTAGCTGGAAAATATACCCGCCTTCCTGAACGTGAGACAGTTTCAGTGTTCCTGGTTGTGGTACCTGATTAAAGACAGAGAGTGAAAAAAACCCCATACTGGTATAAACAATCCATCCATAAACTTCTAGGAATAGGGAGCTCGTTTCATGTAGATTAAATAATTCTCTTAAGTCTAGTCAGCCCAGTCAAGCATGTATGTCAACATGTAACATTTGATCTCTTTTTTTTTTTTTTTGCACCCATTTGTAAAAATAAACACAATATTTAGGTACTGTTTTTCATGGTACACTCAGTTACCTGGAGCTGTGGATCTTAGCACTGGAAAATAAATGGACACGTACATTTAACTCAGTTTTTCAGTAATTAGAAATGTAAGTTTAGAGGGTAAGCAGTAAAACTTTAACCTTTTGCTCTCTATTGAGTTAGTCTGTAGACAATATACATGGATCCACAGAAGTGACTTCTGCTACATATCGATTTATGATAAAGTGAGTGGCAGCATGGCTTTATCAACAAGACTGCCCACCTCTGACCAGTATGACATTTGATACAGTCACAACTTTTGCAAATTGCTGGACTGAATTTTTCCATGTCCTATGCTGAATTTCCATGGCTTGCTCTGAACCAGATATAAGTTCATCTAAAGTGAGTGATCTAATCATTTGCTTTCAGAAAGTCATGGGATAAAAAAAAATTTAAAAGTGTAATAGATCATTAAGAAATTAATAAAATAACTTATTCTATGGTAATTTAAAGCAGGTACCAAACTAGCATTATTAGTATAATAGTAATTTAGAAGTACTTCTAAATAAAATGAGTGTGGTATTTGTAAATGTTGAACTTTTTTTAACCTCATAACCATTACCAGTCACAAATAATTTCATCTGTCTCAGAATTCACTAACACATACTTCAGTAACTACAAAAAAGCACATCAGGTTTACTGGACATGTAGTGCACTTTTACAAATTAAGCACACAGGGCTATTTTTATAAGTAATTGAAAGGCATATTAAAATCCTCTGTGATTATCTTTAATATTAAACCAAAGATTCAATAAAGATCTTTGCTTATTTAAAGTTGCTTTTCATGAAAGAAAACAGGAGTTTTTGATTAATATGATCATAGCATCCTAGACCTACCTTTATAGCAGAATGTATTGATAAATGCATTTTTCTCTCTGAGTAACAGAATTTGCTAACTGAAATTTCTTTCCTTTTCTATTTGCATGAATGCACTTGCTTATCTGATCATTCTGTTGATTACATTCTGATAGAGTGTATGATCCATTAGAATTTTATTCTTTAGTGTATTACAGAAATTAATATGCTCTAAAAAATATGTGCTGCTGTTCACTGTGACTACTGGGAGAGCAAACATGGTATTTAAAACTCATGAGCCCTGGAGTCCAAGTTTCTTCTCAGTGCAGAGCTAGAGAAATGCCACTGACTTCCAAATATGCCACCACTGCTCCCAGTGACCTCTGTGCTTTCCTTATTATCTTCATCCTGCCCCGAAGAATGCTTGCCTGAACTTGCTTTCTTAGAAACTTTGGCTTAAAATAGATAGTAAATTTCCAGATAATCAGCATTTTAAAAAACCCCAACCCATTATTGTCCCTAAGTGTCGAGGAGCTGCACAGCTACAGAGTGTGGGTCCCAATCTGAGAAGCAAATTATCTAAAAAGCAATAATCAGTCACAATAGAAAAAAAATAATTACGCTGGCTTCCTTCTACAATATGATAAGATCTCTCTATAGCAGTCCTTTCACCTCCTTTGTCTTCTATTTATTCTTCAGTCCATAAGAGCAATGCAACAGCTGCCTTTTATCTTATTTAAACACATTCCCATTCTCCCTTGTAGCTGTGGATTCATGCATTATTCTCAAAGAATAAATGACATGAAATTCAGTAACTTCACGGCAGTAACTAAAGCACAAAAGACATCAACTGAAGAATGTATGAAAAAAATCACAATTATTAATTCAACTCTAAAAATTAAATTATCATGACTGATCATCAGGGTACATATCTGTAGGAGAAATCCCTGCTTATTTGAACACAATGAAAAAGTATTTATTTAAGCATGAAAGTGTGTCAAATTCATTTTCCGTTAACAGATACAAAGAAACCACCAAGACTAATGTGATTTTCACAAGTTTGAATGGATATGAGGCTTGTCTGTATTTTCAGAGTGACTCTGAGTAATAGTAAAACATATAAATTTTAAATCTTTTTTTTAAATTTGCATTTTTTTCTTACTCTAGATATATTACTACATCACTAAGTGCTTAATTGCTCTTGAAAGAAAATAATACTGCAAGGTGTTATATTAACAAGTCTTGCTAATAAAATGTTCATTTCATCTAGATGATATCTAGCAACTATTCTTAAAGCTTCATTTTGGTCCACGCTCTCTCACCTTTACATATCCTTCCCGCTCAAGATGGAGTTCCCAGTGTGCCCTGGATACTGTGGGCTGTGAACAGACTATGAGTAGACTCTTTGGGTTTGAGACATTTTTCCTTTCTTTTCTGCTGATCCTAGAGCATTCACAAAGAAGGCTAAGATGAAAGATCCCTCTCTCGATGGCTAATTTTAAGCTGAAACCAAAGCGATGGATGAAATATCTCAAAAGGTCTATATCACACATTTCTTTGCAGTTTCTCCAGAAGCATCGACAGTAGGCTGTTGGTGAAAATACCTAATAAGGTAATAATTTTTAGTAACTGAATTACTGATGAGTCTCTAACCTGGATCACAGAAGCTGAAAACCAAGTGCAAGTGAGCACAAACAATGGCAAAAGGAAGCAGAGCTGAAATGCAGTAAAGCATTAGCATCTATTTGTTTGCTGCTGGCTGTCTCATGCCATCCAGGATAGAGATTAACTGTATAAACCACTAGAAATAATCACTGGAACAAACTCCCCAGGGAGTCCTCCTTCACTGGAGGTCTTCAAGATGTGATTCAACAGATAATTTCATCTAGGCTCCTTGTCCCACAAAAGGTTGGCCCAGATGATCTTTTGAGGTCTCTTCCAACCTGGGCTGCTCTACATTTCTGTGAAATAAATGTTCAAATTGTACAGACATCCTAATTTTGGTGCCTGGTAGACAGATCCATTTGAATACATTTAATATTTTTAGCTCTACATTTAAAACTGTATAAACACAACAATCTGGAATTAACTGTCCATGTTGTGAGATTGCACATGTACCTGCATTTCAACCGATGAGTCACCCTGCAGCAGTGTCCACTCATACTGCACAATTCCATGGTCATCTGAACTTTCTCGGCCATCCAAAAGCACCCAGTCAACAGGTGACTGTAGCACAATATCTTGTCCTGCCTTGCACTGTGGAGGCTCATCATATTCTTCTTCTTCAACAAAAAAGGAGAAGACCAGTTACTATCAGGGGAAGCTGAGTTATTTATATACAACACATTTTTTTTCTTGGTTAAGGTATTGTTTCACTGCTGTGCAACTTTCTGAAAGATGGACATGTTCATTAGTGCACCAAAGTAATATCTACTTCAATTTTAGTTAGTTGTTCTATATTGAATGATGTCTTCGGGAATTAACTGCTACATTAGAAACACATGGCATAGAAAACCTCTCAGGCACCTGTGTGTTTCAGTAATACAACAAACAAGATTTTTAGCATCAGTGTAGTTTTTAAATCTGAACTAATGAAAATGGGTTTAAATATGAATTACATAAACAGTTACAGCACACTTTTTATAGCACTCTGCATAATTCAATAGGCTTTTAGTCTCTTTATAATATATCATTACAGGAGTGAAAGACTTATTTAGCATAAGGTGGCACCCTGGTGAAGCAGAATCAGAAACAACCACCAATTTTAAGTGCCTCATTTAAGATATTCAAAGGTTGATTTTCAGACTATTTAGGATTTGTAGCATTTTGCTACATTCAAAGTACAATCGTTATTGATTAAAATTATGAGTACTAAGTATTTTTGCCAATCAAACCACAAATTTTTCAGGTTAGACTAACAAAAGCCATGAGCTGTTAAGAGACAGAGCCTGTGAGAAGTAAAGCCATTTGTTCTGCAATCTGCAGACAGTGCAGAGAAGACAGAGGGATAAAATCTAGATCAACAAGTCAGTATTTGACAACTTTAGCCAGAAGATTGTATTTTTCTGCAGTTCCCCACTCAAGTTTCATTCTTTCTGGCACTCTGGAGTGCCAGGGCGTTTTCTGCTCTTCAACCCCTGTAAAGGATATTGATATTATGCTCAGAAAAGCATCTACTGAACATAAGGTTGTAACTTCACTCTGTGTTAGCTGCACAAGGAAAGGCATTTCCCTGTCATTGTAGGGGATCTTACTTGGATATGCTCTTCAACAGTATCAAGAACTTGCTCGAAGGCACAGAGCTCATCAGAGCAGTTGGACAACTGTTTATCTCTGACTGAACAGCAAACTTCTTATTTCTTGTTTTTGTCAGCAGTAGGTAAGAGATAGAAAAATACAAGGCAAATGTTGTAAGTTAGGAAAGCATACAAATAACTGAAAACAGGGTCTGATAATAGAAAGTAAGGAACCAGTTCTCACTCATCCAGCTGGCACAGGAAGGTTTGCCTAATTTGTACATGCTCAGTTCTCAAAACCAACTTTGTTTAAAAAAAGCAACATCTAGGTGCAAAAAAACCCCTAATTGTTAATAACCACCACCATTATAGTGCCAGGGCAACTTTTATTTGGTATATATGAGTTATGTAACATCTTTCCACAATTATTAACTTTACCAATAACTGTCAAAAAGAGAACAACCTGGGTCTGAAACAGCAGAGCCCATTCTTCCGCTTCTACCTTGGAAAGGGGTTTCATGTCACATGCCTGTTTAAATGACTAGATCAACGTCCTGCAGGGGCAGAGACAAACCCCACTTCCCCTGGGCCCTAAGCAATAAGGATACTGTCTTCCTGGACTAACTTTATACTCCAACAGCATGAGTTGCAATGGAAGGACCACTGCATGTTGAGGCAGGTCACAGAAATTCATGCCAGCTCTTTGCTAAAGATGAGTGAGGGACCACTCTGGTCCCAAAGGATGGAAGCACCACCTTTTGCTTGTAAGGCACCAGATTATCTTCAGAAAAGTAAATCCACAGCAAAACCGCTCAAGTTTGTTCTAGTAAAGGAAAAATTGGCCTGATAGAGACATATGGCATGGGAGGAGATATTCTATTGAGCTGAAGACTCTTTTTCCACAGCAAAGTTTTAAGTAATGGAATACATAATTCTTAGTTAGTGAAACACCTTCAGATCTGAGGAATACATACTTCTAAGAAATCAGCATAAAAAAACAAGGAGGGATTCTCAGGAGCCACTTAAAACACCACTCATGGGAGTAAAGGACTATCAGCCACAGGTTAGCAGAAAAATAAAACTCAGAAAGCATCTCTAAACTTCTGTTTTTAACATGCAATTAGGTTGAATGTAAATAAGCAGTACAGAACTGGTATCTCAGGTCAACACTGAGATGATGGAGCTGGCTACTTTCTAGAAAAAGGGGTGCAACTTTATAATGCTTTTTATTTTGAGAGGGTAACACGATAGGTTTAACTTATTCTGCTTCCTCCATCCTTTATACAGACTTATCCTGCCAATAATTAAGCTGCCTTCTGAATGAAGACTTTGTTACAAAAGTTTATTTCGCTGACAACTCCTGAATGTGTTTGATATTAGTTTACCTTAATGCTGAATCTTTTCATTGCTCATCACTAATGAGCGGCACAGAAGCAAAGTCAGACATTTCCAGTGAGACACTCGAGTCCTCTTTATGTCTACATCAAAAATTTAAGAATTTGCCTAGCAAAGGTGAAAACAATTACCTCTCATTTCTGTATAGGCATACGGGGGTTCACTGTTAGCACAGCACAAACTGCCTGGGAGTGCAACATAAATCCACAGCCAAACCAGCACAAACTGGATGTATAGTGAAGAACTTGGACTTACACTGAAATGTAAGTCTCTCTAAACTGTCCTGGAATTGCACAGACACACTTGATCTGAGAAATATGTATCTGCCATTAATTGCTCACAGAATTAAATAGCAATTGGGTTTGGTTTAATGAGGATCCTTAACATAAATGAAACCCCACACTGTATCGTAATGCTCAAAAATATTTTGGAATTATGAGGGCACCACATCTATGGAAAAATGTTGTTTTGGTATTCTCAGAAAGAAAATAAAAAAAGACTAAACACCAAATACTCTGAAAAAAAAAAGGAACAGCTAAAACATGATCCTCTCATAGAAGAAAATCTTGAAATGAGAAGTTCTTTCTTAAATTTTCTAAATTCAGTTATGGGGTGACAGAAGGGAAAAGAGATGTGCCTTTGTTGTCCTGTTGTCTAGATTATTTTTTCAATGTAATTTAATTCAGTGGTAAAGAACATCAGAGCAAAATAATTCAATCTTAATTTTATCTCTTCTGGTCCATGTCACAGCTGACAGACATTTGAATAAAAGTTCATTCTCCTTTGTGGCTTTGCTTCAGCTCCAGTGTAATTGCATTAAGAAATCATAATCCCCTGTTTCTGATACCACCATCACCCACAAGGCAGACTTTTAAATAAACCCAAAAGAACGCAGAGCAATTTGCAGATTGGGAATTGAAACTGCCTTGCAAGCCCAGTGCCGATAGACACAAATCTGACAAAAAGGCAAAGCTTTTAAGAATTCCAGAATTCAAGAACTCAAGGAACTCAAGAAATTCAAGATTTCTAATAGGTAGAGTATTAGTTGTACAATAGTATTAGCTCCAGGTTATAAAAGAATTAAGGCAGTTCAAAATGAAGCCTAATTCAAGGCTTCAATGTAAAATCTAGTCTTAACCCTTCCATCTTGCAAGTGCATATGGGCTTATGAAACACAATTACCCTGAAGTTGCTACATAAATAATGCTCTGTAACTAATACTTTCCCCGTTGAAAATGTCAAAATCATACCTTGGGTTTTTCTGGTACCTTAAGCTTGCTTCATCTCTGGTGACATAAGATTCTTGCTATAGTTCTCTAATTATCCTGCTCACACACTTTGCAAAAAAATATTTAGGCATCATAACGCCTCTACAAATTCAGCCCCTGCTCTCTCATATTTCCAGGGGATTCCCACTGACATTCTCAAGAAATAGGCAGGACTGGATGGACCCCTGCCAAGGGAGCAGTAACAGCAGGCACATCTGGGCACAGTTTTCATCCACACCAATATCAGGTCTTCCTGTTGCATGCAGTGACTAATTTACTTCAGTTGAAATCTATTGCTGAAGGAGATGCAAATGATATTTAGGAAGGTATTGTCAACAGAGGTAATGAAATTAAGTCAAAATTATTTAAGATGTAACTGTTTAACAACAGGAGGTGGGGGAGGGAAAGTAAATTCTTTGGATCAGGTGCTAGGAAACAGACTCCAAATCTAGAAATCCAGACTTGTTTTCATCTACAGCTGCTTGCTCTGGAATATGTTGTTTTTAAATATGCTTCAGGGTTGAACAAACCGCTGCTTTGGATGTGGCCCAGGTTCCAGAGGTGCTTATAGAGAATGTCCATGCTACCTCTGAACTACTGGTGAGGTATCCTTGTCTTCTTCAGTCTAGCTCTCAAGTTCTTAAGCAGGAAAAATCCTGAATTAAGTGAATGAGAAACCAGCTTAGGCAATAACATTTGGACAGCACCCTCAAGAAGAAAGGCATTTGCTTGCCCTCAGGCTACTGCACCAGGTTCTGGCATAGCTGGGATCAGCATCCCAGTCATGCTTTCCAAGGTGCCCAGCACCTGCAGTTCCCAGGGAGCTGGGACCTTTCTGGTCCCCCAGGGGTGTATGGCCCATGAACAAGCTCACCCCACTGGCTGGCTCCCAGCCACAGGCCAGCTGGCACAGTGGACCCCAAGGGTTCTGCAGAGACAGACGGATGAGGGGTGGGTTTCTCCAAGCCTGAATACCCCCAAAGCCCGAACACCCTCCCAGAATGGGTAAGGTTGGAAGGGACCACAGTGGGTCACCTGGTCTAACCTCCCTGCTCTAGCAGCATCACATGGAACAGGATTGTGTCCAGATCGTTCTTGAGTATCTCCAGTGAGGGAGACTGGACAGAGTCTCTGGGCAACCTGTTCCAGTGCACGGTCACCTGCACATCAAAGTTGTTCTTCCTCATATTCAGGCGGAACTTTCTGTGCGCCCGTTTCTGCCCGTTGACTCTTGTCCTGTTGCTCGGCACCACCTAGAAAAGCCTGACTCCATCCTCTTGGCATACCTCCTTTAGATACTTATACACGTGGATAAGGTCACCTCGGGCGCGGCCGGGCCGCCTCTCCCGGCTCGGGGAGTCCCGCCGAAAGGCGCTCCTCGCTCCCTCCTCCCGCCGGCGACGCCTCTCGTCCCCGGAGCGCCTTCCCGGCACCGGGGCAGCCGCACGGACGGCGCCCGCTCCCCCCGCCGGCCCCGCCACCCCCGTGCCGAAGGCCGCCATGTCCCTCCCGCCGCGGGGCCGCCGCTCCCGCCCGCGCTGGTCGCTTACCCGGCGGCGCTGGGGCGCTGCCGGCCGTCCGGCGGCTGTAGGAGCTGTACCCGCGGTGCGGGGCGAAGCGGCACACGGGGCGGCCGCGGTGCGTGCAGTTGAAGAGGTAGCAGCCCGGCTCGGCCGCCGTGCCCCGAGGGCGGGCGGGCCCCTGCACCACGGCCAGCGTGCAGCGCGGCTCGGCGCAGCAGGCGTCCAGGCACTGCCGCCAGCCCGACACGGCGCCCGGCGCCCGCAAGAAGGTGGCGCCGGCCGCGATGGAGTCCTTGGTGCGGATGATGGAGTCGGGCCTGGCGGAGAAGCTGCCGCTGCCGCCGCACCGCTCCCCGCCGCCCCCGCCGCCGCTCGCCGTCGCCGGCGGCCCCGGCTCCTCCTGCTGCAGCTGCCGGCGGAACTCCTCCAGCAGCGTCTCCACGCCCGAGATCTGCGAGCGCAGGTCGGCCAGCGGCGCCGCGCAGCGCCCGCCCGGCAGCACGGCCCGGCCGCCCAGCGCCGCCAGCAGCACCAGCACCAGCGCCGCCATGGCCCCAGGCGGCGGCGGCGGCGCGGCTCCCCCCGCCGGCTCCCCCGAGCGAGCGGGCGCGGGAGGCGCCGGCCCCGCCCGGCTGCACCAGGCGGCGCGGCCGCGCTCAGCACCCGCCGCCCGAACAGCTCCGGCGGGCCCCGCCCCGGCCCCGCCCCCGAGGGGGACTCTCCGTCAGGGGCTGGAGCCATAGGACGAGGAGTGATGGGTTCGAACTCAGAGAAGGGAGATTTAGGTTGGATACACGGAAGAAATATTTTACTGCGAGGGTGGTTAGATGCTGGAACAGGATGCCCAAAGAAGTTGTGGGTGCCTCGTCCCTGGTACTGTTCAAGACCAGGCTGGATAAGGCCTTGAGCAGCCTGGTCTAGTTGAAGGTACCCCTGCCCATGGCAGCAGGGTTGGGACTAGGTGATCTTTAAGGTCCCTTCCAGCCTTTAGCCTTCTATGACTCTGTGACTCCACTAGGGGAGGTGACACCTGCAAATAATCGGGGCTGGTGATCACTGAAACTGCTGGTGATTCTGTGACCCTGAGGAAGGAAATAAACAAACAAACCAACCAGAAATCGTGTGGAGGGCTCCATCCCAGGTGTAGCATTTCTGCTCACAAATTAAGGGGGGGAAAAAAAGCCCGGTAGTCAAAAACGTAACACATAAAGATGTGACCTCTTCAGTTTTAGCAAAAAATCCCACATGGGATCTTAACCACCCAAGACATTGGTGAAGAGCTCCCCGTGCACGTTTTTGAAATGTTTGCTAAATGACTTTCAGAGAAGTTCTTCTAATTAAATGAATCAATTTTATATCTGTCACAACTTCTGCTTTATCATGAAATTAAGGCTGATTCTGCGACACAAATTAATAAGTGTGTTATCCCTCAAAATCAGCAATCCTCCAAAACAGCCGCTTTGTTATTTTTCATCAGATATATGAAGCCTCAAAGCACTGGAATGGCACACTGAGACCTGTCTACTAGCACCGAGCTAGTAAAAGCTAAGCTTGACAGTAAATGTATAGAGCTGGTGATGGGCCTTGTGCTGCGTACAAGGGGATGTCATAAGGGGCAGAGAGGTAGCTCTGTCTTTCCATATTAGCTTCATTCTTGCAAGCACCTTTAGACACAGACTCTTACATTTATTGAATTACTGGAAAAGTCTTATTTCAGGCCATGTTCCCAGCATAACTCAGAATTGCCTCCAAAGCAAATACACTTTATTATTCTGCCATTGTGGACCCTTGGGTGTTGCCCAAAAAATTCACATGCAGCTTTATAGTTTGGGTTATGATTTCTCCTCTGCCTCTCCCAAATCATGGGGCTGTAGTCATTGAAGCAGGTTGGCCTGCCATCAGTACAGCTGTTGAAGACTGATTTTTTCCTGGCTGTGTGCTCTGTGGGTTTTCTAAATTTCTAGAAATTATATTTTTGAGACTTTCAATTTCTGACCAATTTTAGTTGAAAATGATCAATACATTTAAAGGTTATGGGAAAATGAACCAGCTAGACAATAAAATGGTATAATCCTTGTTTGCTTTGAAAATCAGGCTAAAATGACATAATTTAATTTCTTAGGGAAATTTTCAAGAGGTGATCAATTTATTCATATGGAGATGCTGACTGTAAGGTACTGATTTGCTAGAAGTGACACTGGTTTGCTGCTGCTCTGCTGTCATACCCTCTGATACTATTTTGCTTCTAAAATGTAAATGAAATTAAAGCTCACTCCACCATTGTGAAGGCTGAAGTTGGCAGAGGGAAAAAATGCACCAGGTCATGACTTCTCAGAGTCACCAAAGATTTGAAATTACTTTCTTTGAGCAGAAGCTCCCAGTTCTGGATCAGCACGCAGCCAGTGTTCCTTAGTGGGGGCCCCTTTACAGGGCATAGGGGGTCACTCATCCCACAACCCTTGTTGTATCCAATTCTACCGGAAGAGTGGTCCCTGATTGTCAGTGGTGGTGACACTGAAGCAGCAGGTTCTTGCAGAAAACACTGAGAGAAATGTTCACTTTCTATTGCTTTATAATGAGAAAGCTGTGGTTGGAAGGTGTCTCCAAGGAGAGTAGATTCTTCTTCAAGCAGGTGAGCATTTAAGAGGTAAAGAAGGGTATGTCCAACAGGTCACTGTCCTGTTGGCTTGCTTCAGTGTCAGTTTTAACAGTTTGATGGTTAGTAGATGTCAAAATGTTTTCCTGGGTTGGGATAAGGATGACATTCTTACATTTGTGTTTGGAAGTGTTGATGCCACCTTCAGACTAGTTTCTTGAGCAAGAGTGTCTAAGTGCAGCAGATTTTTTTGTATTGATGCTGCAGAAGAATTTGTTTTCTTGCCTAATTTTCTTGGCTTAGAATACGCATATCATTACTTTGGCTTTGTGAGAAAGATGGCATTTGTAGTTGTACTGAGCTTCTTTCAGAAGGTGGCAGCAGTTTATTACTTATATAAAACAGATTGCTGCTAGACGTTAATGTCTGCCTGAGGGTAAATAACTACTTATACTTAATTTCACATTTCTTTACTGCTTCATTGTTGTGAGTGCCTTAGATTTCCTTTGGTTTGTGGAGGTACAAATATGAATTAATATTTAGGTTATAGTAAAATATAAGATATTTTGTTCCTACCTCTCATGAAAATGAAGTTTTGGGATGGTTGATTTTCAAGCAGAAGGCATTAGAAATTCCTAAAGGTATTTGTCAGGTTTTAGTTCTTTTTCCCTTTTCAAAGGATACATGCATGTACCACAGTTTACTACCCAAAATGTCCATCAGACATGGGACAGCTAAAGAGACTGCTATCTTTCTTTTCCAAAAGTGGTGATTGGGCTACACATATACTCTTTATATCCAAACAATACCTGGCAGAGTAATACAGGGATTCAGAATTCATTAATATTCATGTTTCCAACCATCTGTTGATTAGTTTCAATCTTTATTCATATTCAAAATTCCTAAATTGCTGAAACTATGAGAGTGAGATCTGAGTGCATCTGCTTTTTTCTTCTGTTGGTTATATTTTTTCCAAAGCAAGAGAATAATAAGAATTAAAAAAGCAGGGGAAAGAAATGGAGGAGGATGAAAAAAAACTGAGAATGTAGAAAGAGAGCAAGAAGAAAAGGCAAAGTTACATCCAGACTTCCTCATCTGAACTGCTTTCCTATGGAGTTGTGCTTTCTTTTTTGTGGAGAACATGTGCTCAGAAAAAGAAATATGTCTTCCTTTTCATTTGAAGTCTTACAGATGCTCTGCAAACAGTAAACACATAATGCAAATGTTATCTGCAGAAAACGTGTTGTCGGCATGATGCTATCATTAAACACATTTTCTCTGCTCCAGTTTGCTTGTGAGAATTTGTTGAGTAAACACCCATGATAGATACAAATCAGCTCAGATGCTGGAGTGGACTGATGATTGACAGCTGAGTTTGAGCAATTTGCCCATGAATGAATTGAAGTGATAACCTTTTCTTTGCAGCTTGAAGATTCAGGTTTCTGACCCTGAGAGTGAGAGACGAGGTGTTCTGCACAAATTACAGAGGGTAGGGTGTTAAATGTTAGGAGTGGGAGCAGAGGAATTACAGGTATATCACTCAGTTTTTGTGTAGTGTTATTTTTTAATATTTCCCATCCTTCCCAAGCATAATTGTGTAATGCTTTGGTACTGGTGTTATGAAAATAGCAGGCAGAATAGTTTTTCAAATTACTAAATAAAAAATGTAATTGTGAAGGTGCTTCATATTGTATTGATTATATGAACATCCCATGATGATGCAAATTAAAAAGGTATGACTGATTACAGCTTGAGCTGATATTAGTCCAAGTAGGTAAACAGTTTTCCTTGCCCTCTTTAAGAAAAGAAAAATAGCTAAACCGTATCTTGGCAGTGTGTGTGTGTGTAATTGTGCTTGCCTTTCTACTGCTATATTTAATATCAGTGTACAGAAAGTGAGAGCTCTGCTGGTTGATAAAGTGGAATGTTATTAACAACCTCCCCTCCTTTCTGTATGCTTACTGTAATTGTGCCTAACACAAAGCAAGTATTTTACGACAAAACAGGGAAGGAGACAGAGAATGAAGAAAGGCACAGGACTGTTTTTTAGAGATCCTTTCCCACTAGCAGCAGTGGTAAGGATCGAGCTGAGACATCAGGTGATTACTTTAACGTTACGTTCATACGTGCTGTGATTGCTTTTCTGCCTGGATACTGCATAATTGACTGCACAGCATTAGCCAGGCACCACGTGGTACCAACAGAGACACTCTGACAGTAAAAGCACGAAGGCTCTGCTACTGAAACAATTTTTTTTTTTTAAATTAAAAAGCAACCTTCTTTTAAAGAGCAAGGGTGGGTAGGGGTGAGAAGGGGGGAGCCTTTTCTGTAAAATGAAGTTATTAATTGTGCTTATTACCTGGTGTAAGGTGAAATTCACTGTGAGAAGAGAGGTCACATAATGATCATGATCCTTGCTGCTGAAGTATAGTCATTACGACAGTGAACTGACTGCTTAATCAAAATCAAAATCAAGCAGGGTAAAAAGAGAGGTAGGGTAAAGCTAAGCAAATAAATCCTAATATTACTGGCAGAATAGTACCATTCTTATCACATATCTTAGCTGGATCTGTCAGCATACAGAAAAACACAACATTTCTTTTCAACTGAAATCTACCAAATACTCCTTCAGCATTCTTCTGATCAGTGCAATAGCATTGGAAACTGCTGCTTGAGGCATGAAGGCTGTCTGAGAGGTGAAGGACACTTATTTTTATTAAAATACTTCTCTGTGAAAGGGTTAGTTAGGGTTAGAGCTTCAGATCTTTAGCTAGAATTTCAGCCAGTTCTGTAGAAATAGGTTACCGCTGATTTACAAACAGTAAATCTAACAGCCAGAGCCCAGGTGAAGTCAGGAGCAGAAAAAGTCATTTGCCTCCTAAACAGCACCATTAAGAGGAGAATGGTTGAGAGAATAAAGGTGAGTCAATACTATGCATTTTTTTACAGTCATC